GTGAATTTCGTGCGGATTTCTCTTGACCAGGAATGAAGACTGCAAAAAGCCCACGTGAAAGTCACCCCGTTTTTCGCTCGCCGTTTCGGGGTTCTGCAGTGGCAGACATCCGCGCAAAAGTCCGCTGCAGCACGTCTGCAAGGTCGGTTCAAGCAACACTTGGTGTGGGCAGCGCGTGCAAACAACATCTGCTTCGGTGCAGCGCACCGACGGGCCTCGGTGCGCTGGGCGGCCTGCGCCAGACGCTGCTGGGCCTCTGCGCGTTGGGCGGGGGCCCTTGCCCCCGGAGGCTGCGGCGCTGGCTTGCGTGCACCGTGCCCTTGGCATATCGCTCGGGCGTGTGCGTATTTTTTTTCGGCGAGGGCCGTCGAGGAGCATCCTGGCTCATCGGGACATGCACGGGGAATGGGCGTCCGGGCGAGGGCGTCGAGGATCGAAGAAGAAAAACGCCATGAACATACACTTTTGGCGCTCCGCGCGGATTTCTTGGATCCGCCGCGCTGCCCCCCCCCCCCTGGCGGCGCCTGCGGCGGCCCATGGCGCGCTCCGCGCCAGGGAGGGGGGTCCAGCGCAGTCCCAAGAAATCCGCGCGGAGCGCCAAAGACGACGACGACGGCGACGGCGACGGCGACGGCGACGGCGACGGCGACGGCGACGGCGACGGCGACGGCGGCGGCGGCGGCGGCGACGGCGACGGCGACGACGGCGGCGACAGCGACGGCGACGGCGACGACGACGACGACGACGACGACGACGACGACGACGAGGCTTGCAATCAGCCGTACGGCAAGGACTGCCCCACATCGATTTCTGGGGGCGACCAGTGCCGCAGACCAGCGCCACACCAGATGCACACGTACGCGTGGGGGGATGATTAGAAAAGTGTGAAACCCGCTTGGGTTCTCTGGTCTTTAGGATGGTGCGCGCGGGAAAAATAATTGCCGCACGATGGTTGCTTGTTGCGCTTTGCTGCTGCGCGTGGTGTTGCTTTTCATGGTCGTACGCAAACCCGTCGCTCGTAGTCGCAGTGGTCGTACTGGTGCTGTTGCTCGCTGCGCTTGTGCTGCCGCGAGTGGCGCTGCGGGCCTCCGCCGTAGTGGAGCTGTTGGCCCCAGTCGTTGTGCCCGCGCGTGGTGGTGCTGGTGCTGGTGCTGGTGCTGGTGCTTGTACTAGTGGCGGTGGCGGTGGTGGTGGTGGTGGTGGTGGTGGTGGTGGTGGTGGTGGTGGTGGTGGTGGTGGTGGTGGTGGTGGTGGTGGTGGTGGTGGTGGTGGTGGTGGAGTCGATCACCGAGTATAATGGGAAATACGTGCAAACCCTCCGACCCAGCTCAAGCAAGCTGCTGGAGAGCTCCGCCGCCGGGCCCTGCCACCGCCCGACTCCTGCACACGAGAACCAGCGAGCACTGTAAGCCCCTGACCCTGGTCTCCGAGTCGGACGGGGACACCCTCCAACACTCGACCCGAACATTAAAAACCCACATTTGCCCAGCCAGCACCCTAGGCTGGGCAGGTTCAAAGGAGGAGGAGGAGGAGGAGGAGGAGGAGGAGGTGGTGGTGGTGGTGGGTGGTGGGTGGTGGTGGGTGGTGGTGGTGGGGTGGTGGGTGGTGTGGTGGGTGGGGTGGTGGTGGGTGGGTGGTAGGTGGTGGGTGGTGGGTGGTGGGTGTGGTTGTGGGTGGTGGGTGGTGGTGGGTGGTGGTGGTGGGTGGGTGGTGGGTGGTGGGGTGGGGGTGGGGGTTGGGGGGTGGGGGTTGGGGGTGGTGGGGTGGGGGGTGGGGGGGGGGGGGGGGGATGGTGGGCGGTGGGTGGTGGGTGGTGGGTGGTGGGTGGTGGGTGGTGGGTGGGTGGGTGAGTTGAGTTGAGTGGGTGGGTGAGTGAGTGGGTGGGTGGGTGTGGTGATGGTGGTGGGTATGGTGGTGGTTCTGGTGGTGGCGGTTCGTGGTGGTGATGGTGTTCGTTGCATTTGTGCTCCTGCCGTTCGTGGTGTTGGCTCCAGTCGTGGTGCCGCCGTGGTGCCGCTTCGTGTCGCCATGTTTGTGGTCGTTGTGGTGTTGGTCGTGGCGCTCTGCTGCTGCGACTCGCGGTGTTGCTTCTTGTGCACAACAGACTGCGTACCGCAAAGCTGCGTGCTGCCAGTTGTGGTTGTGCTGCGTTCTGTCCTGTGCTGCGCGTGGTTTTGCTGGCCCCGGTCGTTGTGCCCGCTGTGGTGCTGCTACTGCTGGTCGCAGTCGCAGTGGTCGTGGTGGTGCTGCTCGCTGCGCTTGTGCTGCTTCGCGTGGTGCTGCTGGCCCCAGTCGGTGTGTTCACGCGTGGTGTTGCTGCCGGTCGCTGCCGCGGTGGCCGTGGTGATGCTATTCGTTGCGTCCGTGCTTCTGTGACAGGTGTTGTTTTACTCCAGTGCCAGTGCCCGCTGCGGTGTTGCTGCCGGTCGCCTTCGTGGTGGTCACGGTGGTGCTGCTCGTGGCGCCCGCGCCTCGCGCAGTTGTCGTTCTGGTGCTGCTCGGCTGGCTTGTGCTGCTGCGCGTGGTTATGTGGGCCAGCGCTGTGATTAGTGCCGCTGCGTGTCGTTTTTATTGTTGTGTTCGTTGTCGTTCTGGCCTATTTTTCCGATCGCTGCAGGCATAAGATGTTGTGCCCGGTGTGGTGCTGTTGCCAGTCGCAGTTTGTTGTGGTCGTGGTGGTGCCGCTTCTTGCGCCTGCTCTGCCACGCGTTTTGCTGCTGCGCGTGGTGCTCCTGGTCGAAGTCTTCTTGCCCGCTGGTGGTGCTGCTGCTGGTCCACGCAGTGGTGGTCGCGTTGGTGCGGCTCCAGTCGCACGGCCCGCCCTGGATCTCCTGCGGGGCGGGCGCACCTGTTCTGGTTGTGTTTGAGTTCGCCGCGCTCAAGCTCCTGCGCGTTGTGTCGCTGCTGCTTCTAGCCGTTCGCAGCGCTTATTTGCAGTCGTGGTGGTCGTGGGCGTGCTGCTCGTCGCGTGGTGCTGCTGGCCCCAGTCCTTGTGCCCGCGGCGGCTTCGCTGCCATTCGCACCCGTGGAGGTGGCATTGGTGCTTGTGCTTGTCCTGCTACGTGCCGCTCGTTGCGCTTGTGTTGCTGCGCGTGGTGGCGCTGCTGGTCCTTGACATGCTTCTTGTTGCGTTTGTGCTGCTGGCCTCTATCGTTGTGCCCGCCGTGGTGCTGCTGCCGGTCGCAGTCGCTGTTGTCACGTTGGTGCTGCTCGTTGTGGTTGTGTTGCTGCGCGTGGTGCTGCTGCCGTGCTGGTGCTCGTTGCGATGTGGCTGCTGCGCCGGACGCTCCGGCCCCAATTGCAGTGTCCGCCCTTGCGCTGTTGCCTGACGCACTCGTGCTGGTCGCCGTAAAGCTGCTCTTGCCGCTTCTGGTGTTGCGCGTGGGGCACTTTGCCCCTGCAGTCGGGCGGCGGCAACCCCCTGTCGACGGTCGGTGCGCTTTGCGCTGGTGCTGCTGCCTTCACGGCGGCGTTGTTGTGCTCGTTTTAGTGCTGCTTCCAGTCGCACTCGTTGTGGTCGTCGTGGCGCTGCTCGTTGCGCCCGTGCTGCTGCACGTGGTGCTACTGACTCCCTTTTTACGGCGCTCTCCCTATAGCCGCGGCTGGTCCCAGACGTGGTCGTCGGTGCTGGTCGGTGTGCTTGTGTTGCTGCGCGTCGCGCTGCTGGCCAGCGCTGTTTTCTATTTTCTGTGGTGCCGCCTGGTATGGAAGTCGTGCCCGCTGTTTCGTTTCGTTTCGCGCTCATACAGCACACTCCGGGTCCCGCGCCGGGCGCCCGCGGGGCGCCCGCCGCCCGGCCCCGGGCGCGCCGCCCCTCACAGCTGCTGGTACCAGCCGCTCCGAGGGAGGATATGTACGCCGTCAGGTAGTGGTCTTTCACACACCCCATCTTGCCCACACATCGACAACCTCTCTGCCTGCCGCCCTCCCCGCCCACGCCGGACGGACAGCGCGGGACCTTCCTGGGGCGGCCGGAGCGGGGAGGCTCGATCACATGAGGCACGCGCCCGTGTTCCCCCTCCCCTCGCAGCCCACGCGGCGGACGGACAACCGGGCAGGGCCAACAAGCGCCTGTCTAGGGATACGGCATAGCAGGTTGTGCCTCAGCCCACCCTGGCTTGGTTGCGGGAACGAAACCACTCTAGCTCGGGGGGGCGCGCGGGGGGGGAGGCGGAGGGGGAGGCGGAGGCGGAGGGGGCGGCGCTGGCCAAGCAGCCTGCAAAACTGCAGCGCCCACGTAACTGACCCTGCGGCCCGTGTTACGTCCTTATTCCTGCCTCACAGTGGTGATGCGGCCCTTTGTGGTCCCAATGGCCTCGTTAGATTTGACGGTATCGTCTCTCGCACATTCTCTCTTGTTGTTTGCTTCTCGGCATGTGTGTGTGGGTGTGCTTCTCGGCTTGTGTGTGTGTGTGCAATGCAACTATGCCACGACGTCCCTTTGCGATCGTTGGGTCTGTCTTTCCGTTTGGAGGAGCACGCTTCCCGTCTGACCTCTGGGGGGGGGACTGTCGTCCAGTGCCCGCCTCTGTCAGGCAGATTTCGGCTGACCTGCGAGGGGGCTGTTGTCTCTGTCGTCGCGTCGTCGTCGTCGTCGTCGTCGTCGTCGTCGTCGTCGTCGTCGTCGCCCTCTCCGTCGTCTCGTTGGTTCTTGTGTTGTCCCTTGTCTCGTCGCCGCCCTTGCGTGGTATGCACTCGGAGAAGGGGAGCAGCGGTGCGATGTTGCATGCTTGTTGTCCTCTCATTGCATCCATCTGTTTGCATCATGTGGTGCCTGTTGTTTTGCTTGCACTTGTTGCTTCTCTTGCCCTGTTCTCTATCTGCTGGCCGCGCACGCGGGGCCGTCGCCCTAGCGTCTCCATTTGGCTGGGGGGGCCGCCCTCCTATTCGAGGGCAGGCGCCGTCGCCGAGGGGCGCCTTAGGGCGGGTGGGTCGGCGTGGGCTGCGAGCTCTCTTCTTTCTCAAGGGGAGCCTTACGAAGGGCGGTGAAAGACCCGACCCTAGACGGAGGCACCCTGCGCTCCGCCTCGCCCACTTCTCTCTGGGGGGGGGTGAGCCGGGGCGCCGCGGGGGTCCGCGGACCGGGCGCGCGCGGCGAGGGCGCGCGGCGGGCGTCCGGCCTGTGGCCGCCGCAGCGGAGGCCAAAAAAAAAAAACGTGCGCAGCACGCGCACGCGACGGGAGACCCTCGGAAAAAAGGACTTGTAAGGCGAACTCCGGGGCGGCGCCCTGCATGGGCGGGCCGTCGCGCGCAAGGAGGGCACGGTGCTGAACCGTGGCCTGACACGCTACCAGGGGATGGTCGACTGCTACATTCGACGCTCCGCATGCCCCGCACCGCGAGAGCGTGGCTGGCAGCCCACCCTGGCCAAGCACGGCAAGGGGCCAGCAGCCCGTCATGCGTATGACGGCCCACAACCGGTAATGCTTCCAAAAGTTTGGAGACGACTCCCAGCCCAGAAGATTCCAGTCAGGGAGGGACGGGCCCGGGCAAAGCTCAGCGAAGGAACGGCGCAACGCCGGGAGAACACATGACGCTGCCTTCCTGAATGCTTGCCGGTCATACTCCAACAGCGCTGGGCGCACGACCTGCCAGCGGTACCACTCCAGGAGGGCCCTGCGCCTCGCTGGATGGGCGCGCGCAGCCTCCAACTGCTCCCCAGCGCATGCCGGGTGTCGGTCCAGTTGCACTGGCGGCGACGGAAGGCGGCCAGCGAGCGCAGCTACCGCAGTAACCCAAGAGGGGGCGTGCAGGCACCGGGATGCCTGCCAGGCTCGGGACGCCGGGTGGTCGAGCGGGAGGACTGCGAGCCTGGCTCGCGCTAGCAAGGCACGCTCAAGAAACTTCGTGCCCAGCCTCAAAGGCCACCCGCATTGGGCCACGACCACGCTGTGACGCACGGGCGGGCCAGCATTGCAGCCCAGCAGCTTGCGGCCCCACTCTACCTGTAAGCGGTTGAGGGCCGCTTCAGCCCCCTCGGCTAGGGCCAACAACGGGGAAGCGTATAGGATTACCGACTCAATGCGGGGAGGGACTTGAGCTGCGGCAACTGGGATGGAGAAGCCCCCGCACTCCGCCGCCTGCAAAAGTTCGTCAAACAGCGACCTGCCCCTCGCGAGCGTACTGTGCAGCAACGGCAGAAACGTGAGGCCCGAGTCCACTAGAACTCCTAGAAGCCCTTTCGCGCTCACCACAGGGGCTCCAGCTAGCAAGGGCGGGGCGGCGTCCAGAAGGGGCAGGACTGCCGTCTTCCCCCTATCATAGTTGAAGCGGGCCCTCACGCGCCGTGCGTATCGGCTGCACGCCGACCACTCTTCCTCCGACAGAACGGCCCTAACGGCCCCCTCTGACGGGCAGGGCGTTGTGATGTCATCCACGAATTGCGGTGACTCCACGTGGTAAGCCCCCAAACGCTCTGTCACGGCAACCCGATCAGCCTGCGACGACAGCGCGCTGAGGACGCCGCGCAGGAAGCGCCTCGCCTGGGGCCACGGCGACTCCTCAGCCGCCGCCAAAAGCGACACCTCCTGCACGACCCCGTCAAGCTGCAGCTCCCCCCGCGGCGGCTCAACGCATTGCGCCGGCGGCGTGACTTCCTCCGCGTCAAGGAGCGCTGCCCTAGCAAATGGAGCACAATCGTGCTGCACCCCTCCGGGGGCACTTTTGCGATGTCATCCGCAAGCCCACGGAGCTGGGTGTTAAAAGCGTGCACAGAAAACCGCCTGCCCTGAGCTGTACCGCGCGAAAGCATAAAAACGGGGCTCAGCAGCCCATGCAAAGACAGGCGCTGATGGTCTTGCGCCAACACGTCGTCCAAAATGAGCCAATCAGGCCCGCGGACTCCGGCGTTGTACACGCCCACCAACATGGCGTGGCGGGACGCCACGTCGAAAGCCCACTTGCCATCTGCTAGAGCCCACCAAGTGTGGAGGCCCTGCGCATGCCGCAGCTGGGCGTGCACGACGAGGCCGATTACTAGGGTGAGGGCGTCGCCGACCCCCCCCTGCTGGCAAGGCCCACAATACGCCTCCAGCGCACCGCTATTTCGGGCTTTCCAGAGAGCGTCTTGTACCGATGCCATCTCCGTTGCAATGGAAATTGGCCGCAGGGCGGAGAGTGCGCGCACTGTGGTTGGGCCGCACTTACGCAATGGGGTGATCTGCCTGAGTGACCAGATTTTCGCGGTCACGCCGGCGGCGCGAGCGAGGTTCACTAGGGCCTTGGTCAGCCGTACCCCCGCTGGTGGGCGGCGTAACACCCATGACTTGTGCGTTTGCCTGGCTTGAGAGCGCTCAACACAGCATGCACCTCGTCATCCGTGTAAGGTGGAGCTCGGGCTGGTGCGCCTTCGAGGGCACCCGCGCTACGGATCAAAGAAACCTGCCGTGCCATGGCCTCCTCGGCCCCCGGATCCTGCTCAAAGTCATTGCGATCGCGTGCAAACAGATCCTGCCTAACAGCCTCAACCATCGCACTGGGCGTAAGCGCGGCCCCCGTGGACGGGTCCGACAGCCTCACCTCAAAACGGGTGCGCACCTGGAAGAAGCTCGACAGGAACCTCTCCGCGGCCCCGGGGTTGGCCTCGCGCAAATGCAAATAGCGGTGGACGGCTCTCCTACGCTCCCCCCACGCTGCGCGCGCAACTTCAAGCTTAAACTCTTGATGCGAGGTGAAACACGCTGGGTTCAGCAACCTACGCGCAATGGTCTGCGAGAGGCGACGCTTGCCCCCTATCGCCTTGGTGGCACCCGCTGCGTGTCCCACCATGGTGTAGGCGGCATCGCGAGCCCAAGCCGCAACGTTAACCACGGCGCGCCTTGGCACTCTGCTGGCCCTGCCTCCGAACCACGGTGGCTGAAGCCAAGGGGCGCATGTAATTGCTTCCACGCTCTCGCTCAGCGCACTGAGGGTGCCGGAGATTTCCCTCAGGCCCTCGTCCCACCTGGGTCCGGACGTCCAGGCGACCCTCCCGTAGCCCGCCGCCCACGGGGCCGTGAACTGGCAGGGCACCTCTGCCATGACGAGTCGGTGGTCGGAGAGCGCAATAAAATCCGGCAGGACCTTGACAGGAAGGGGCGAATCTCTCATGCCTATGAAAAGGTCGATGCAGGTGCCAGACACATGCGTTGGCGCGGGGGGGTTAAAAGCCCCAAGCCCTGCAGCCACAAGCCACTGTTGGATCTCTCTGTCTGCAGGGGATTGCTTGCAGTGCGCGCAGCTACAAGGCTCCACATGGTCAGCAAGATAGTCCAAATGGACATTTGCATCTCCGCCTAAAATCAAGCGCGCCCGCGGGTACCGATGACGACATAAAGCCGCATGCGCTACAATGGACTTCCAGGTGTCTGTGTCCCCGCCGTGCTTCGGGTAGAACGCGCAAAGGATGACAGCAGGACTGGGCGCGGCCCCTCCGCCCCAAACCTCAAACCACTGCTCCCGGTTTGAAGAAAAATCCGGCACCGGGCGCAGCATGTGTTCTACCTCGGGGCGGAAAAAGATGCCTACCGAATCCCACGACCCCGAGCGCGCCCCATCCCAGCAATATGGGAAACCTTGGGGAAGCGTTGCGCCCTCGGGAAACCGCGCCCCCGGGAGGATGCAGATGTCAACCGACTGAGCGTCCAGGGCAAAAGCGACTGCCTCGAGACGCCATTCCAGAAGCTGGTCGGCGCCTAACTGGAGAAAACCGCACCGGCCCGGGTTCAGAGTGCCAAGACGAAGGACGGAGCGGGCGGGGGGGACACAGGAGGCCTCACGCTCTGGGCCTACCTCCTCGACAGGCGGAGGTCCGGCAAATGGCGAACCTACCGCTGCGGCATGCTGTCCCAATGCACGCAAGGGCTGTGATGCCGCTGGCCTCCGCATTCGTGGTGGTCTCAGTGGTGCTGCTGGTTGCCTGTTGCTTCTATTCGCCGGCGCGGTGGTCGTGGTGGTGGTGCTGGTTGCGCACGTGCTGCTGCAAGTCGGTCGTGTGGGCTCCCGTCGCAGCCCCCCGCCATAATGCCGCGGTGGGCCCCGCAAGAGAGGTCACATTGGTGCTGCTCGTTGCGACTGCACCGACCAAAGACGCTGTGATAGTGGTGGTGCTGCTTGGCTGGCTTGTGCGGCGGGCCGCCGTCGCAGTGCCACTGCGCATTGTTGTATCGTTACCTTTTGTGCTGCTGGCGCAGGCTGTTGAGCTCACCCTGTGGTGGTGCTGCTTGTTGCGCCTGCGCTGCCACGTGTCGTGCTGCTGCTCGTTGCGCTTGTGCTGCTGCGTGTGGCGCTGCTTGTCCCAGTATTCTTGCCCGCTGCTGTTATTGCTGCTGGTCCCTGCAGTGGTGGTCGCGTTGGTGTGGCACTTGTGCGCTTGTGCTGCTGCGCGTCGTTGTGGCTTCAGTCGCACAGCCCGCCCTGGTGCTGCTGCGGGGCGCACCTGTCGTTGCTCGTGTGCTCCTGCGTGTGGTGGGGCTGCTGGCGTGGTGGTCGTTGATTTGCTGCTCGTTGCGGTGTGCTGCGGGCCTGAGTCTATGTACCCGCTGTGATGCCGCTGCCGGTCGCGCTCGTGTTCGTCCTGCTGGTGTTTGCGCTTGTGCTGCTGCGCCTGCTGCTGTCCCCAGTGGTCGTGCCTGCCATGCAGCCTCTTGTCGTTGTGCTGTCAGTGGCATCCTGGTCGCTCTGGAGCTGTTTGTGGCGCCCGCGACAAACGCAGTCTTTGTGATAGTCGTGGTGCTGCTCGTCCGGCTCTTTTGCTGGTGCAGCTGGCCGCCGCCGTAGTGCCGTTGCGTGTCGTTCTGTTTGGAAGTAGGCTGCTGCGGTTTTGGATTGCTCCTTGTGCTGTTGGCCTAGTCGTTGCGCCTTGCGCGGGGGTGCTCGCTGCAATGCTTTCGTGGTGGTGCTGCTGTGGGGCGCAGGCGTGTTGGTCGTGTTGGTGCCGCTCGTTGCGCTTGTGTTGCTGCGCGTGGTGGCGCCGCTGGTCCCTGACATGCTTCTTGTTGTGCTTGTGCCCGCCGTGGTGCTGCACTGCGGCTGCTGGTCGCCGTCGCAGTTGTCACGTTGGTGCTGCTCGTTGTGGTTGTGTTGCTGCACGTGGTGCTGCTGCCGTGCTGGTGCTCGTTGCGATGTTGCTGCTGCGCCGGACGCTCTGGCCCCAGTTGCAGAGTCCGCCCTTGCGTCGTTGCCTGACGCACTCGTGCTGGTCGCCGTGAAGCTGCTCTTGCCGCTTCTGGTGTTGCGCGTGGGGCACTTTGCCCCTGCAGTCGGGCGGCGGCAACCCCCTGTCGACGGTCGGTGCGCTTTGCGCTGGTGCTGCTGCCTTCATGGCGGCGTTGTTGTGCTCGTTTTAGTGCTGCTGCCAGTCGCACTCGTTGTGGTCGTCGTGGCGCTGCTCGTTGCGTCCGCGCTGCCGCACGTGGTGCTACTGACTCCCTTTTTACGGCGCTCTCCCTATAGCCGCAACCGGTCCCAGACGTGGTCGTCGGTGCTGGTCGGTGTGCTTGTGTTGCTGCGCGTCGCGCTGCTGGCCAAATCGTGGTGGTGCTTCTCGTTCGCTGTTTTCTGTTTTCTGTGGTGCTGCCTGGCATGGACGTCGTGCCAGCTTTGGTGCTGCTGGCGACCACAGTCGTGGTGGTCTCAGCGGTGCTGCTCGTTGCCTGTTGCTTCTAGTCGCCGGCGCAGTGGTCGTGGTGGTGGTGCTGGTAGCGCACGTGCTACTGCAGTTGGTCGTTTGGGCTCCCGTCGCAGTGGACCCCGCAAGGGAAGTCACATTGGTGCTGCTGGTGGCGCCCGCGCTTGTCACAGTCGTTGTGATCGGCTGGCCGCCGTCGCAGTGCCACTGCGCATCGTTGTATCGTTACCTTCTGTCGCTGCGCGTACTTCGCTTTGTGCTGCTGGCACATGCTGTTGAGCCCACCCTCTGGTGGTGGTGCTGCTTATTGCCCCTGCGCTGCCACATGTCGTGCTGCTTGTCGTGGTTGTTGTGGTCATTGTGCTGCTGCTCGTTGCGCTTGTTCTGTTGCGTGTGGTGCTGCTTGTCCTAGTCTTCTTGCCCACCATGCTGCTAGTGCAGCTGGTCAGTGCAGTGGTGGTGGCGTTGGTGTGGCACTTGTGCGCTCTTGCTGCTGCGCGTATTTGTGGCCCCAGTCGTGCAGACCGCCCTGGCGCTGCTTGCTGTGGGGCGCACCTGTCGTTGCTCTTGTGCTCCTGCGTGCCCCACCCAGTCGGTGCGCCCGCTGTGATGCCGCTGCTGGTCGCGCTCGTGGTCGTCCTGCTGGTGTTTGCGCTTGTGCTGCTGCGCCTGCTGCTGTCCCCAGTGGTCGTGCCTGCCATGCAGCCTGTTATCGTTGTGCTCCTGTCCGTCGCATTTGTCGGGCACTCCGTGGCGTGAACGTGGACCCTAGGGCGCTACGTGGTGATATGCGCGCCCACGTCCCTGAAGTCCACGGTCTGGCTCGACGTCGCGCGCCCTTTTGGGCCCCCTTGGGGGGCGCGCAGCCTTGCAGCGCCTGCGTCTGCCACCTCCCAAAGGGATTGCCCAAAATGTTCTGGGGGGTGCCCCCTCATGCGGAACAGCAGCGCAGGAGTGGAATCGCCGAGGCGTTTCTGCATTTGTGACGCGCCACGTTTGATCGCGCATCTGGCCTGACTGCCCGAAGTGCACCTTGCGGCGCCGTCGCTTGCGATCTGGGCCAGGCCGGCCACGATTAGCTGACGCCCGTGCCGGCCCTGCTGGGGCCGCGGCCACTGCTGACAGCAGGCGGTTTTTTCCCCAACCACTTCCGGCCAAGAATAGGGGCGGCGCGGGAGCAGGCCCCCGCAAGACAAAGCCCCCCTGCTCCTTCGATCGGCTGCGCCGACGCCCCCCCCCCCCCCCCGTCGGCATTTACTTCTCCATGCTCGCCGGCCTCTGCCCTGCCGGCCCGCGGGAAGTTCCGCGGCACAGTAACGCAGCGCACTTTTGAAATCGCGCCCTGCCCTCGAATCGAATGTTTGAAAAGCGCTTTCTGCCGCAGCTGGCAGGGAGGGGTTCAACAGCCCCTCCCCCCGGGGAAAGATGCAAGCTGGTCCAGAGCCCCCCCCTTCCTGACGCGCCTTTGTTTTTGACAGCGACCCCGTCTGGGTTTAGGGGTGTCGCGGGTCCGTGTTGGTCCTTCCCCTCCCCAGAGGGTCTTGGTTGCTGCTTCTTGGCTTCTGTTGCGCGTTTGCCAAGATGCTGCGCAGTTGCTAGGATGCTGCAGTCAAGCCGCATTTCCTAGCAACCCAACACTGCGTTGAATTGCATTGCCATGTGTTGCACATCTATACACCAATATTAGTTACACGCGCGAACTTTCATCAACAGATTAAAGAACAGAAGACAACAACAAAAAAACAATGACACCAACGCGGCACACCACCACCAAACAAACAACGGACACATAATGCGCCACAGCCTGTGCGATGGGCAGGCGGATTTGACATGCGTGCACCGAAGAAAAAGCAACAACGTATGAACAGACAAAGACCCCATGGAAGAAACAGTGCCGAAGTAGTTCGTAGAGAAAAAGGAGGGCGAGCAAAGAGGAGGAGGAGGAGGAGGAGGAGGAGGAGGAGGAGGAGGAGGAAGAGAAAAGCAATGAGGTAGGCGAGCTTCTTTTTTTTCTAGTAAAGACGAACTCACGGAATCCAGGGGATGTGGGCCAAACCTGGGACGTGGCCTTATCATCTTTGGGATCGGAGCCCTTGAAGACGTCTTTGGTTGCTCGTGTTGGTCCTCTCTTTGCTGCCCTTCCGTTTACAGCCGTTCGGGCCCAAGTGTTGTATTGAAGCGGCGATACGCACTCCTCTTTTTTTTCAGGGTTTCTTCAGCGATGGGGAAGGAACCGAAGGTTGGCAAGCATCGGGGCAGGGCTTTCGACTGGGAGTTGATAGCAACCACACTTGAGCCGTTTGTAACCGTTCCTGAGTTCCTCGAGTATGGAAACAAAATGTCCGAGTCTCCGATGCAGACTGAGAAGATACAGCAGCACCGGGACATGCTCAAGGCATTGGCGAAGGTTGAGGGGCAGAAACCCATGACACCACAAGGAAACAAGTCAAGAAATCAATCTTGTTGTTGGTCTTGGGTTTTGTGAGTTGGGCTGTCTGTAAATCGACAGGGGTGGCGTGAGGGGGTAGTCTGGCTCGCGCCAGCCAGGTCCACAACAACTTGTCCTACACCCAGAAAACGATGCAGGCCGCTCTCACGGGCATTGCGAGCAATGTCAAGGGCCTGGCCAAGAAGGATCACGAGAGTTGGTCAGAGGAGATGGCCAAGCGTGTACGTACACTGTGCAGGCGCAGCGGCCCTCAACCATCACACAGCGGGCCATGCAATGCAACGCAATTGGCTACAACAGCAACTGGGCCCTTCGGACATCCTGAGATACATCGCAACCACATGGATGCGTTCGTTTGTATGTTGACCCTTACAGGCACACGGCCAACTACGGCTACAAGTCCAAGCCACCGCAGTG